TGGCAAAAGAAGGAAGTTGGTGTTGAGCCAGTGATCAGATAGCCCATGTTCCTGCCAGCTCACTGCAGGTTTTTGAAGAGCCAGGCCGTGCAGGGGGGTAAGGAGAGAGCAGGAGCATCCTTGCCCTCCCCAGTAAGGAACCAAGGCCTACTGGGGAGAAAGCCCAGTCACCAGAAGGAGGTCTTGGGAGGCGTCTTCTCGTCTGTCAAGGTGTGTACTGTCCCAGCAGGGAGCTGGAAAGGACGGGTTTGAGGGGAGAATGAGGGGGGAGGTGTGAACCCATCTAGAGAAGGGGTGGGAAGGGCCAAGCAGAAAGATCATTAATTCAACCATCCCTGTGCAAATCTACTTGTACCCACACTGTCAGACACAGCAGTGAACACATCCCAAATGCCCGTGGAGCAGAGGTTTAGCAGGATGGGGACAAGGGAACCTTTATGGGTGTGACAGGCATGTGGGACCCAAGGCCAGCAGGCAGGCCAAAATGCACCTGTGTTGTGAGAGACTCACGTGCCGGTTGACTTTATGGAATGACCGGTAATCAACTGCCCACTCTGTGAGATGCCCTCACAGGAAAAAGTAAGGGTCCTTCTCTGAGCCTTATCGCCAATCTCTGAAATGCCAGCAGGTGGAGGGGCAGGCCCCGGGGCAGCTGAGCTGGGAGCAAAGACAGGTACTCCTTTTTTTCCTTTTGTTAATCCTCACCCGAGGATATTTTTCTATTTTTAATTTTTATTTAATTTTTTTACAGGGAGTGACACAGAGAGACTTACCAGCTGGTTGGAGAGGGATAGAGAGTTAGAAACATCGATGAGAGAAACATCGATCAGCTGCCTCCTGCATACCTCCTACTGGGGATGTGCCCGCAACCAGGGTACATGCCCTTGCTGGATTCGCACCTGGGACCTTTCGGTCCGCAGGCTGACGCTCTATCCATTGAGCCAAACCAGTCAGGCTCTATTAATTTTTAAAGAGTGGGAAGGGGGGAGGCGGGGAGAGACACATTGCCTCCCGCATGCACCCTGACCGAGGCTGGGGATCAAACCTGCAACCCAGATATGTGTCATGAATCGAACCTGAGACCCTTCGGTGCGCGGGCCGATCCTAGACACTGAGTGACACCAGCTAGGGCCAGGGATTCTTTCAGCGGGGACAGCTGGAGCAGGCCTGAGCTGAGGGCCCAGGCAGCGCACATGGGACAGCTGGAGGGACCAGGGACTGCCATCGGTCCTCTCTCAGGGAAGGGTCAGAGCCTTGCTCTGTGCTCTTCAGAATTGACCACTGTGGGGGGGAGAGGGGGGCTTTGTGGCCAGGCACCTCAGGGTTGGGGGTGAGCTTCCCCACATGGGAGGGATGCCCTCAGGCCTGGGGGGTGCCTGCCTTGACAGGTCCCACTGTGGCCCCCTCCAGCACACTCTTTGGGGTTTGCCAGGGCCCGCCCCTCCTGCCCTGCCCTCAGCCACCTGGGAGAAACTCTGCAGGTAGCCCTTCCTGGGCAGCAGCCAAACACTGCCCTGTTTCCACTGACAATGAGTTTTCATCCTTTGTTCGCCCAAGTGTTTCCCATGGGGCTAGATCCTCCCTGCAGGGCCAGGGCAGGGATTTTAGCATCAGCTGCCGGAGGGCCACCAGGTGTTTAAGAGCGGACATGAACGGGAGGGGCTGGCAGGCCTCAGTGGGGTAAAGAGGAGGAAGCAGCTCCCCACCTCCCTTTCCTGGCTTTGGCCTCACCTGATGGAGAGGACCCCTCCCCACTTCCAGCTTCTCCTCCTAGGCAGACATGGGTCCTGCAGGCGCCAGATTACAGGGTAGGTGGGAGGCAGGTCATCCAGCGGCAAAGCAGAGGCCCTGGCCTCCGCCCATAAAGGGTAAGCTGACCTCAG